GGGCGATTGTGTAGTGTTGGGCGATCGTGTAGTGTTGGGCGAGCGTGTAGTGTTTGGTGATCGTGTAGTGTTGGGCGAGCGTGTAGTGTTGGGTGAGCGTGTTGGGCGATCGTGTAGTGTTGGGCGAGCGTGTAGTGTTGGGTGATCGTGTAGTGTTGGACGAGCGTGTAGTGTTGGACGAGCGTGTAGTGTTGGGTGAGCGTGTAGTGTTGGGCGAGCGTGTAGTGTTGGGTGAGCGCTTTTCCATAAACACGGCCCTCAAACCGCTTTAGTGTCACTGTTATTGAGCTGCGGAGCCTCAGTCATTCACAACCAAAACCAAAATAAATATCTGAGGTTAGAAAGTGTTTTAATCATAGGATTGATGGCCCTCATAGGGAATCGCAAAAAGTGGAAAAATATGACAAAATACTGAGGGTTAAGTTAGTATTTACATAGTTTTTTTAAGGTTGGATTTTGAAGCTTTTCAAAATGTGTTGTTTGGTGTTTCCTGACATTGTCCTCATTCCAGTGGGTAAAATAGAAAGCCCATTCTTCTCAGGAGCTTGAAAGAGTTTCCTTTCATTGTGACATATGGATGCTTTCGATATGCTTGTCTTGCCATCTTGTACCTAATGACAACAGTGGACTAAACAGAAGAGTCCCCTTTGGGTTACTTGAACTCCTACTGACTCTCATCCATATGAGAACTTAGTGAGCATTTGTTCTGTTGAAGTAATGGGCCTTCTTATCGCAGGCCCTGAAAGGCTTACGTAATGTCCTCATGGACGGTGACTCTTCAAGCAGGAATATGCTGCAGGGAAGAAGGCCTGCAAACTTCCACAATGAGCTCGCTTTCTTTGCAAGACATTTAACCTTATTTGACAGAAGTGGTAACAGGAAAGTCTATTCAATATGCAGGCTATAATTGGATGTTAAGTGGAGAAATTACTTTCCTACTTGAAAGGCCAAAAAGTTTGGGCCAGTCTTACTTACTATTGACTCGACCTGAGGTTCTGTTCAGAGTTTGCATTATAATTAATTTTCTCCACTGTCCTTCAACAAATCTCAGTAGTATAACAAGTCAGTGTATACAAATTGTGGACAAAAACATAATTTTTCAGATCTTTTAATGTTTTATGGCAAAGCAGATGCACAGAAAGGTGTAGTATGGATGTATATTTTTCAATTAACGATTCATAATTCATTACCTTAAAATGCAGATTATTTTGGACCCTGATTATTGAATTATATTTTCTTTTTATATTATTAATTCTGTGAAACAAAAAAGTGGATATTGTACATTCTGGTAAGGTTAACTATGTCCAAACAACTATAACATTACCAAGAATATTTTCAAAAGAGTTCTATGTTTCAGCAAAAACACAGATAATGAAATGAGAATGAAAAAAGCACAATATATTTAGGTTTAATATTTTGCACTGCAACCCTGCCCTGGATAAATGGCTAAAAGACCAACAAATGGATGTTCGAGGTTAAGAACATAACTTTTTCATGTCCGTTGCAATGGATTTTGTCAAACTTCTTTTTGTAGCTATGAAGCACACTAGTTGTGTTTTACTCAAATCAGTGGTAAAACACTAAAGTGATTTGCCAAGGATGTGACCAGAAGGGGATCTGGACTAACATAACAAACGTTTTGTCACTGCGATGGTCCCACATGACATCTGCAGGTAATTTAATTGAAGGGATGACAAAACCCGCCTGTCCTGCCCTATGGTCTCAGATCTCAAATCTGCAGGAAGTTAATGCTGTATCAAAACAGGGAACCCTAATTAAAACCAAGAAAAAATATAGTATGTACAAAAATCCATCTATTAATGGGTAAGTAACCAAACATGATATTGCTATGGACATAACTTGGAGGTGTGAAAGGAAATTCCAGCTTACTTCTCTATATTTTTCACTAACAGTGGTTGATGATCCATTGTAAATCATCAATAGCTAATTTTATTTTAAAAACAGTCAGTGATTATTCAAAGTAATAAAGTAAGTCTATGTGTTGGTGAAATAAATCAGTTTGTTTTATTTACCTATATTTTAAACCTGGAGGCACTAGCTTGGTTAAGTAAGCTGGGCGACATCTTAAAAAATGAATGAATCATGATTCCAATCATGAGCTTTGGGGACTCTGTATCACTTCATAACAGTGCTGTATTTCAATACTTTCTCTACCCAGTATGTAATGTGATTTATTGTTTAGCCTGCAGTCTCCCTTCCATTTGCCATTAATCTGTAGTGAAAATGGAAATGGATTGGGTAACGGAAGTCAGTGCTCTGTACTGCCAGCATGTCGACCATAACCGGAATGGTATGGCCTCATGCGTATCTGGCATAATCGTGGTGGTTCCGTTCCATGCCCCTGCATCGTCAGATGAGGGATCTCAGATGTTTCATTGGAGGGAGTCCTTCCTGCCTGCAGCCAATGGGGTTAGCTGCTCCAGACTTTGATGCCACATTTCTTCTGATACCCTTGGTGCTGCTTATGTCCTAAGGCCTGTTAGCTCTTTGAAGTCAGGACCTTGTTCCTTTCATGTTTTGTCCAGAGAGAGAGAGAGAGAGATTTCATTGATATTGGAAAGGCATGTCAGCAGATACGCCAAAAGTAATTTTTAAGGCACACTGTCAGCTCTTTGCGTCTTTGCGAAGGATTTGAGTTTAGGTTTGTTTATTTCATTTTGGGTCTGATTATTTTCTCAGTCGAATTTTCTATCTCATAATGACTGAGAAGGGATAAAGTGTCACTTCCTGTTTGTGACACTCATGTGACACTTTTCATGATCTCAATAAACATTAGACATTGTTAATGTTCCCTCAAAAAGTTCACCCCTGTCAAAAGGCATTTGCTATTATTAGACCTTGTAAGCCCTGGAAAATAGGGTTTCAGGTTTAAATCCCCAAGATTGATGTCGTTCCATTCGTTCGGATATCAGTCTACAGAAAAATGTGATTTTTACTCTATCCCATATTAAGCGTTGGAGTCTGGATTTTCTCACCAAACCAAATTATCTACTCTGCTATTTTTATTGTGGGTGTGTATGTGTTTGTGAGTGTATCACCTTGGCTATAAAGGGCAATATCAACGTTTTTTTAAGTTTTCTGTTCATTCTAATTTTCTTTCCCCAGAAGTTGACTTGGATATGTGTTATAGCATAATAATGCCTTGTCCCCTGCGTGTTTTCGGTAATGGAGCGGGGGCATGATGCTTATGTACACAAATTTCAGTTTCTTTGTGACATGCTGCTATTTCCTGCCCTGGGAAAGCTTGGGAGCTGACTTGACTTTTCATTTTTCAGCTCCAGAAAATGTAATGCGGTAATACCGAAACAGACTTGTCAGCAGCTGGTAGCTGTTTCCTGTGCGAACAACACGTATCGTGTGTGAACTGCGTAATGCACAGAACTTACATACATGATCCAGGCTTCAACGGTTAAGCCCATAGTGGCTCTTGTGGCCTTTTTGTTTGTTTTATGGTCTTTATCTTCCAAAGACTGAGCAGCTCTGAATTTGGAACCCAAGGAGCCAGAATGTTAGCCAGGGCTAGATGCCTAATGTCAGTCACTCACTACATTTCCACAATAATTCTCTGAGGGTTACAGACACAAATATACAGTACATTGGTTAATACCACAAATCTACAATGGAGTGTGATGATTAGAACGTGAAATTGTACAAATCTCTATATTGTACATTAAGTTTGTGGTTTATTCAAGTAATACAAATGTTTTTTTCTATTTTCCTTACTTTGTCATAGATGTGATACAGCTGCATTTTTTTTTTTACTTATTCTTAATTTGAATTTACTTTTGATTCCAGGGGAATAGCACAGTGGTTTATACATATTTTTAAATAATCATCAGCATTTAAAAATCATCATCAGGTCATAAATTATGTGTGAGCCTCATGCGAATTAACAGTGCAGTTCTGGTGCTTGTTCAAGTCAGCAGCTTCCATACTGCTAGTGTTTACACTGGCAACATGAATACTGAATATATGCGTGTGAGTGGCACAAAATTCATTCCGTTTTCTCTCCTGACGGGTCTAATGAAGAAGCATGAAAAACTAGCTACTGAGAAAAACACGCTTTCTCAATGTTACTTGCTATCATTTCTTTGAAAAGTACTTATTCAATTGCAGCTACCTGTACATCATGGATCATACATAAGTACTTCACCCCCATCTGCATACCAGGGCTGTGGAAAGGTGCACAACCTTTGAACTTATTGAGATGTGCACAAACTTATCGGGATGTGCAAGAACTTATTGGGATGTGCAAGAACGTATCGGGATGTGGCGTTATCCCTGGTACCAAGGTGGTAGAATAACTTCAGCACCTTGTCCTTTAGCTGTTGAGAAGGAGTTCAGCTTTCATCTCTTCAAAGAAAAGCGGAGACGTGCAGGGCCGCATTGAGCTGCAGATGTTGTCCTAAACATGTTAAACGGAAAGAAGGCGTGAAACTGGATTGTACTGCTTCAACCACAGGGCTTAAACATGACCCAGGGGGGAAGTCAGAGCTCTCTCTTTAGTCTGTACACCCAATATAAAAATCATCTTCAGATTGTGATTGGACACACCAGCTCCTAACAATTATGCTTGTGCTGTCTCATTTTCTGTTCAGAATTTGCTCCCTTGTTCCAAAATATCCGTCTGTAGCCATCTGTTAGGCTAAAAGACTGGAGTTGCTATACTGAGAGATGAGCTGCCCACATTTGGACTGCTGACTATGACAGAGAATTGCCAGAATGTTCACCAGATGTCACAGCCTGTTTGCTTTGTTTGCTAATCATAATTATTGTCTATAATGGACAATACTGGCTCGAGATTAAAATCCAGCTGTTTAAGGTCTTAACATACTGATTAGGACGGGATGTTGGTATAGTTTTTTTTTTTGAGAATAACAGCATATCAATATAAACATGACAATCATTTTAAAAGGTATATCTGTCATTTATCATTATCAGCCAGAGCAGATGAGACCTGGACCCAGCATTCAGGAGGCAGCTGTTGGGCAGCGTCTGCACCATGCTGCCCCTTTGCCACGGACCTGCTATGCACAGGTGGGTGGGGGCCCCTGACAATGGGGCCGCCTTCCGGCGATTAGCTTCAGCGTCTTTTCCCACAGTACAGACACCATGCATTCTTCAGCCAGATGTGGCTCAAGGAATATTTCGTCACACTCCGGTACAGCTGGTGTTTTTTACCGGCCACTCCCACGCCTGTCTTTCTTGTTTTTGTGGGAACATGACCTGGTTAAAGGGGAGAAGAAAAAAAATCACATTTTTGCATCTTTTAGTTTATTCATGTTGAACACAATGACCTCCCTCCCTCTGTAAAATAAAAGCTGGAGTGTGAGGGACCTTCTTGATGCTAAGTGAGGCACTCTGTGAGACAGGCCTGGGGGGGGGGATGCAGACAGCACAGCACTCGGGGCAGGCAGGATGTACGGACCATAAATTCTCATGCTAATCAGCATCTCTGCCATGTTGCCCCTGTTTTTCATACCTTCCCGGTATGAAGGGCTGCAGCTGCAGAACTTGACTTGAAAAGTTTGACTAAATCTTTCCAGCAGCCCACCACAAAAAAAAAAGAAGGAAAAACACATCCACTGTAAGGCCAGCGAAATATTTTGTGCTAATGATCAGCTTTATTAACCCCCACATACAGACTCGGTGGGCATTCACAGTGTGACATTTCTAGCCAATCCACAAACGTCGTAATCGCCGGGCAACTGAATCGAGGTACTTCGTCCTGCACGCATTTTACTTTTAATGTGTAGGGATCAGGGGCTGCGTGCTTGTGTCGTTTGGCCGACTTATCAGAAGCTGCCAGAGTGCTTGCATCTATGCTAAGTGCAGCAGACATTTGCGGTCCAAAATGACAGAGCATCCAACATCTTCTCATTGGATATTTACTGCCCGATTTCGAGTGGCTGGCAAAGAACAAAGCAGATGGATTGAATTTAATTTTCCTGTAAACCCACACAATATAGAATTATACAATTTGCCAGATGGTAATAACTTTGCTTTCCAGAATAATGTGGTTTGCTAAACAAGCTTGGCATTTTATCTTTTTTTGCATAATTACATTTTTGTGTTCGTGCTAATGGGTATGCTAATGTTCACTACTCAAACTGAAATTAACCCGAGTTTGAAATTTGTATAAATATGTAACAATCTTTTTCTAATGGTTAAATGGATATCATTATAGAGGGACTGTCAGCAAACACATAGAAGTGAGGTCACCATGACATAAATAAAACAGGCTTCTCTTTACAGGATTTATCTAATATTAAATTAAGATGAATCAAGGCCTACATTTTGTGCTTATATTCAAATAGTTGTACTTATTCTCTGATTGCATATTGTAAAAAAACAAACAATCTGAGGTTACTTAGTTTTGATATTTTATTTAGGTTTAGTTTCTTTAACTTCAGATTTATTTTAAAAATGTTTTTAGATAATACAGTCACACACACAGGCATACTACCATTCATGTTTTTTTGACTAGTAATTGCTGCTTCTCCTGATGCCAATTTCTGCTATAATGCGTTGACATAAACGTTTCAGTTACTCGGATTACATTCTTGAAGCTGGCAGTTTTAAAAGTGACTGGATAGCAATTTGTGATTTTTAAGGATGTTTTAAAACTCTGCTTGAAATTTATTATTAAGGATTAGATAGTTATTACACAGTTATTAATAATACATTCTGCTAAATAATTATCTTTCAGCCTTTTAAATGTTATAAAATATCCATTTGTTTAAATGTATAAATAATACATACATATTATGCACAATAATAGTAATTATGCAGGGAGTATTTTGGACACATTGCTGTAGTTTGATATTCAGTGGCTGACATTCACTAAGTACTACAATGCCAGCCACTCCAGCCTGTGATTGAGGTTGATGCATGTAAACAGGATTTAGGGCTAACAGAAAGTCCTCCGCGCTTTTTCTCAGGTGGGGAGGTTTTGGCCAAAACCGACCCAGCTGGTGCCTCTTATCCCGAAAGGCCATCCAGCTCCCGGAGAGTGACATCTGGACAGAGGTGTGTCAATGTCTTATTGTCAGAAATACCGTGGAGAGCAGCCGTTCACTAAGCACGGATTCATCAGCCCTTTGTGGGGGGGTTTCTGAATACTTACTGATTCTCATCCCTCCGTCTTCAAATGAAATATATAACAGTAGTTTATTTTCAGTAAGAATCACACTCCCAGATAAGGTGTCATATAGAAACTGTAATGAGGTCAGTAACAGAGAATGTTTTCTCTTTCAAAAAAATATGTTTTGTTTTTCATCCCTGAAACTTCAGTGGGTGAGTTTCGAGCTGAAAACGGAGCCAGAGGATACGACGTAAGGCAGTTATGGTTTTATCTGCGCTCTTTGAGAAGACTTAAAGTCTTATTTTGAGAGTGGAATTTATTTTTCAGCTTTAGCATGCAGCATGTGGTTGTGTGTCCTCAGGTCTTAGCTCATGAAACACTTGGATAATCCTTTAACTGGGGCTCAAGCCTACTTTACAATTCCATTGTTGGAGGCTGTATGGCTGATTAATATGCTTGCAGAAAAAAAACGCATGGACTTGACGTATTCCTACTACTGAACACTGAGAACATTTGGGAACCTAGATATAGCGCTGACTTAAAGGCCAGTGCAGATCAGGGGCTTTGATGTTTATACATGCAGGCATCTCTGTCACACAATGGCTGTAATCTGCAGTGTATGGGGATTGGCGCGACATTGGGAAAATAGCTAACAATTTGTTTTGCATCTTGAAGAAAATGTGGACAAATTCAGCAGCGGCATATGGTAAAGTCTGAGCGATAAGCAGCAATGGCTGAATACATATAACATATATATATATATAACGATAATAGGTTTTAACAGCATGCTCACATTTAAACTGTGTGCTAACATTTATTTTACCAGGAGAAAATCTGGCTTTGGCTTCAGAAACTTGATTCTGTGACACTTCTCAGAGTCTGTGAATCTACCACAAAATGTTTAAGGCTGCGTCATCTGAGCACTGGCTTAATTTCAGCATGGGATTGCAAGAGTATCCCGTGGCAGCGACTGATGTCCTTCTGTCCTAGGGATGGAGTTCCAGCGTCTGCAGGAGGACAGAAAGGAAGAGGGATGTGAAGAGGGGAGGGACGACCTGCAGAAGGCTCGGGGGGCACAGCTGGGGGAGACAGGTGCCACAAGCTGGCTTATCCCTAAAGATGGCTGGACTTATTCATGCTGCGCCCAGATTGCTGGTGCCAACCTGTCGGCGGGAAATTATTTAGGAATGTTTGCACTAAATGTGCCATTTTCGCAAGCAGAGCTAGAGCCAACCAACTTGACATTTCTGAAATATGTTCTGTACCGTTGCAGCCATGTAACATTTGAATCTGAGACTCAATTAATTGTCATGGCAACCGGCAGGAAGTGGCTTTGAGTGCTGTTCGGACTTTCGCATGGAGCTGTGACAAACAAATTTAAACTTCAGATTTCTTTGTATTTGGGCAGAGGCCAAAATGTAACCATATGAGCAACACATTATATTTGATTTCAATCAACATGGTGCCTAAAGCCCATTGTTATTGTCATTTTTGGTAACTGTTACATATCAATCCAGAACCATTTACAGTTGATCCTGCTACTATAAGAGGCTGTTTGGCTTTTGCAGTTTTCACCTGTTCAGCCTTAATAGTCAGCAAGTAAGTAAGCTCTGTATGGGAATGTTCTTAAAAATACATCCATTATCCAGAATCCAGTGTTGGGTAATGGTGAAGTTGGAGCCTATCCCAGGAAGCACAGGACTCAGGGGGAACAGCTCAGTCGGGATGGCAGTCCTTCACAGGGCATATAATCACACACCCATTCATGCACTGCAAGCAATTTAGGGGCACCAATTAGACCAACTGCATCTACTTGGAATGTAACAGGAAATCCATGCTAACCCAAGGGAAAAGCATGCGAACTATATACACTGAGCTGGGGCACTCAGATCTTCAACCTTGGGGCATGTGAGGCTGTAGAGCCAACTACAGAGCCACTGTGACTCCTTCACAGAAAAAAACAACAACAGTAACTAGTAAATGCAGTGACTCTGCAGGTAGAACAGCCTGCTGCTAGTCTGCTCTGCACCTTCTTGCACGACTACCCTTCATCTATGGGCAGATTGCGCTAAACAGACGTTTCTCTTCTCGTGTTATTTGTTTGCTCAGATCAGTCCCAGCACTCCAAAGCCTTTGTGCATGTTACCATTGATTAATAACCAAGCATTACAGTCACTCTGTTGAAATTTGCTATGGTGATTCAATAACATCTGTTTATTATTAGAAGCAAACAATTACAAGAACTTGAAATGGGCTTCTGTGACTGATGGATGGTTATATTGGCAGGACAAAGTTATGTCTAAGCAATCTAATAGTTTCCAAGTTTTCCACAGAGTTTACGCTCCGTCTCATATCCACTGCTCGGATTGTCCTTTGGTCTCATCTACTGTATGTAGAAGTTCAAAGCCCCTGAGGTCCTCCTGTGTTCCTTTAGGTTCCAAGGTGCTGACATTTAGAAATGGAAGGTTCTTCTATAGACCTCACGGACAAAATGATATCATGCTATAGTCATTGCTTGGAGTTGATTGGTGAAGGTAGCTTCTGAGAGAAGGGCTGTACCTTATACCCCATGCTATGGCCTCTTTTAGTTCACAAAAAGTCTCCAAGGGACGCCATACTGCTCTAGAGCTGTTCATTTGTTTGGCAGGTAAGGACTAAAACTTGAGGAAAGCAAATATTAAAATCACCCTGCTACCTGTGGTCATTTGCTTGCAACAAATGGTGTTTTTTGCTGGCAAAGTCAGATTTGGGATAGAATATCAGAAAGAATTATCTACAGGTCATTTAGACTATTAAATAAAAATTGTGTATTTTAGGTTTTTTTTTACTTCTCTCCACTGAAAAAGATAATGAAAACCTTCACTTTTCATTAGATGGCTGGACTTATCAAACACCTACCAGACAGACTTGCTGTGTTGTAAAGCTATAATTGAAAGCACTGCTGGATTACACAACAATAGTCCAACCATCCATCCAATCCTCCAACTGCTTATCCAGCAGTTTGCCATTGGGTCCAGCCTTGAGCCTATTTCAGCAAGTGCAGGGCAGGGGCTTACACTGGAGAGGTTGCTGATGCATTTCAGAGGCAAGAACACACAATGATTTTAGGGTGCAGGATGACCCCCCCCCCCCGCAGGCACGGAAGTGTGAAACAACAATGCAGCACACAGTGCCAGAGTCCTACTCAAGCTATAGTCTTAGTTGATTAATAAATCGATTACTTGTCTGAAGTCCGTAAACTGTAGGAGACCCTTATAATGCCAACAGGGGCCCTTTGTCCTCTGTATTTAATGAAATTGCTCTTTTTCCCCCATGTGTGCCTGGAAACAGTTTGTAGGGTCGGCATTTCCTCCTGAAGCAGGGCCACAGCGCTGTGCCAGCCAGGTCACCCCCCCCCCGCTGCAGGTCCTGAGCCCAGCTCAGTGGGAGGAGTAAACTGTCACAGCAGTGCGAGCTAATTGACTGCCGGTGCCCCCACTGATCTGGCGGTAATCGCCAGGATTATGGCACTCGTGTAATTTAATTGTGGTGCCCCTTTTGAACGCAAAGCACCTCTTACTCTGAATGCCCTCAAGAGTACTAGGGTGTTGTGCAAGAGTCTGAATCATCCAAACCTGATGCATTTATGCAAATTGAAATTTAGTACAGTAAGTAGGACTCGCTTCCATTATCTCAAGTAAAAAAACTTGTGCAAATTCATCTGGAAGCACTTGTCCACAATGAATAATATTTTTTATTTATCGCTGTTGGGATTCATCCCCTGTCAGGGTTTGTTTTGAAAATATTACAGAATGGATATCAGAGTCATCTTCTACGTTGTACGCTAATGAGATTTCTTCTGGCATAAACAGAGTTTGTTTGGCACACAATGCATTGTTTTTTCTGGCGTGAGATGTGAGAGTGGCACGATTGCATGAAATACCTGCTGTTACGCAGGCATTTCCATCTGTTTCTCCAGCAGATTACTCATAGGTCCACGCTGACCCTCTTTGGTGCTTCCTGTGGAAGGGGGTGGGGCTTGTTCTCCACTGAGACAGGTGTGCAGCTCTCAGTTAGTGAGATTGCACAGGACCAATTGGGCAATCACTGCTCGTGGGTGCTCATGCTGGTGTAATCACTTTTTCTCCCCATTCCTCCTTCCCTCCACATGGACACACATGCAGTCATACAGTAAGTATGTCCTGGAGATGTGACAGGATTGTTCACACTGTGCACACAGATGTTTCCTCAGCTTAAAAAAGCATTCTTTAAAAATGACTTTTTAGAACAATAAATAAAGTTTACCCTAAATGGGCCTTTTTTTCCTTAATCAAATGTAAATACAGGACACATTTCTCACGGTGCTTTTAAGAATAATTCTGAAGGATAAACGTCAGTTAAATGACCTTCAGAATTTTTTTTTTTGCATGATAATGGTAAGAGCTGTACTGTATATATTTTTAACAGTTAAAGTGACATCACCTCAAAACATGCATTGCCTTGGGTCAGGCAGCAATGGCTGACCGTCCCCATTAATAACGCATATGGCTTCCCCCAAATGGCATCACGGTTGTCTTGGTAGAGAAATGACTTTGTGTCGGACTTATTTTCCGTCCCGTTATCGCCTCGTGTCTCATGGCAGCCGTGGTTTTGGGACTCGCCTCCACGCTGTTTCGGGGGGCTGGACACGTAACAGTGCTTTTATCTCCTAGATAATAACGTGCCACGATGATAGAAAGTCCTGTTAACTAATACCCAAGGTGTCGTTACCTACTTTATCATTAGCCTGCCCTCGGACGATTCTGTACGCCTGTCACAGCAAAGTAATGGGATCATCTTGCTTCTTTAATGCTACTCTTTGTGTGCATCGGGGAAAAATGTTTTATATCTTTATATAGACAAGCTTTGGTTCCATTCTGTTTACTGCATTTTCCAGCCCACAAATTTTTAAGGGTTGTGACAGACAACTCTGAAAACACTGAAAAATGTATCTGGAATGCTGGTTCTGTTCACTCCTATCTGTGCTACTCGGCAGTAAATCTTTTAGCTACACGCCTTCATAGATGTCAGTTTTGTGGGAATACTGTTTTTATTTGCCAGATTTTCACCCGCGTACATCTAAACACACACACATGCATATTTTTAGCATTCTGACGACATCAAATCTTATTAAACAACTTAATAATATAATGATCTTGATCCTGTTTTTTCACTTAGTGTGTTAAACACAGCAGCACCCTTCTACACACACGTATTTGCACACATGAACAAACACAGACATATACATGCGATCTGGAGAGAGCTGGAAAAATACCCGCATCCCATCGCAACTGCATATAACAAATGCTACATCGTCTAAATAGTACAGTATACACACATATAAGTGTATCTTATTTCCCTTCAGATAATTTGCTCTTCAAATGCCCTAAAATGTTTGAATGCCTTGTGCCCTGTGCTGCCTGCGATAGGCTCCAGGATCCCCCTGCAACCCTGAACAAGCCTAAGACGGTTTGAAAATGGATGGATGGATTTTTCAGTGCAAAGAAAGAAACACTATGCTCATTAATACTTGAACCGGTTTAGTTATTTTCATCACAAACCATTTTTCAAAGATTTAAAGTAGAATACATTTTTTAAATCAGAATAAATGACCCTATATACAAAGATACACGGCCTAGACATCACTGACTTATGGATTCTTAAATCTTTTTTAATACTAGGCTATGATTACAGATTTCTCAATGCTATTCTTCATGTAGTGCTTTCCATCTTCATTCGAGCACCTATCCCTAATGTACACTGTGTTGTCACTCAGTTAGGCCTGTTCCCAATTACCCAGAACATCTATAGCATTTGTTCCTCAATGGCCTCTCCTTGTCTCTCAACACCGGGCCCCACTAGACTCAATTTCACAACAATTTGCACGGTGGTATATGTGGCCGGGCAGGCTCGGACTGTGCCGAGAGAAGCCGGGAACGCCTAATTAGCCATAATGGATGCAAATGCTCGAAAACCCTTTGTGGCACCCGAACAATGAACAGTAAACAGTGATTCAGAGCGAACTGCAAGCAGCCTAGGAGGGATCGAGTGCCCGCTGATGGGTGCCACA